CCCCGCGGGCGTGTCGTCGGGCATCTCCTTCATGAAGGCGATCTTGCGCAGCGTCTCCTCGCGCTCCATCTCCTGCCACTTCGCGCGGCGCTCCGCCTCCTCGATGGCCTTCTTGCGGTCGATGTCCGCCTCCTCGAGCGCCTCGCTCAATTTGCGCGCGCCGGACGTCGTCGTGTCCGTGCCGTCCCACTGGAGCGACGGGCCCTGGCCGAAGCCGACGCCGTCCGACTTCAGCGCCGACGACGACCGCAGGCTCCCCGCGGGCGCCATGAGCGCCGCGGCGCTCGAGAGGCAGAGGGCGACGATGAGCTTCGCCATGGCGCCTGCGGGGGGGCGCGGCGTCGGAATTGTCGCTTTTTTTGGCGGCGCTCCGACGGTACGCGCGATCGAGCGACGGCGGGTGGCGGACTGGCTCTCTCACTGCGACGGACAACTGTGGACGCCGGCGCCCCACCTCCTTGATGTACGACGAGGTCAGTACGTGGGCACCGAGGCAAACTTGGGCACCGGGCAGGAGGCGACCACGGACAAAAGATCCGACAACATGACGGGGTGGGTGGGTGGGTCCGAGGTCGGGTTTCAAAAACCCAAGGTGTACTTAAAGGGTACTTGTAACGCGCGCGCGCGCGCGCGGAGGCCGCGCGCGTCTCGCGTCCCGCGCCGCACCGGGAGTCGGGAAGAGGTGCCATGGAGCACGGCGGTGTCCTCGTCGAGTCGGGCCGCGCCCGGCGTGCGTCGGGTGGCCCGCGGCCGCACGGTGGCGGCTCCTGCCGCGGCACCGGCGACTCCCGGTCGACCGCGGCGCCGCGCGCGCGGTGTGGCAATTCAGCGATCGCCCAGCGGCGCGCGGCGCGGCAACTTGAAGGCAACCGACGACGAAGGAGCTCGTTGATTGGCCGGGAGGTGGGTGGGTGGGCGCCGGGGGCCGGCACCAAAAATCCGTCATGTTGTCTGGTACTTTTTTTTGGGGCGCCTCCTGGTGAAGCAGCCAAGCGCGATGATGGCCGCTCCAGGTGTTAAGACGCTTTGCTCGGCGTGAAACACTTAGCAAAACAGACAGTGCTAGCAAGCAATCCTGCGCGCAGCAAACGCCAGCAAAACAGGATGCATCGCCTCCTGCTGCTGCTGCCCGCACTCGCAACCACCATCGCCGAACCCGACTGGGCGCAGCGCGCCGCGGCCGTGAAAGACGCCATCCACGCCTCCTTCGGCGCCTACATGGCGCACGCGTCGGACTTCGACGTGCTGCTGCCCGCCGCGAAGACCGGCGGCGACGTCGCGGGCGCGCGCTACGCGCTCTACGAGTCGCTCGACACGCTCTACGTCGCCGGGTTGGCCGACGACTTCGACGCGGCCGTCGCGGCGATCTTCGCCGGCGGGCTGCGCGATCCGCTGCGGCGCGGCGCGCCCGCGCCGAAGCGCGTCGCGTCCGTCGCCGAGTACGCGCGGCGCGTCGTCGGCGGGCTGCTCGGCGGGTTCGAGGTCTCGGGCGACCGGCGGCTGCTGTACGCGGCCGCGCACGCGGCGGAGCGCGCGCTCGACGCCCTGCCGGACACGCAGGACGTCGTCGTCCTGCCCCCGGACCGGTCGCGCCTCGTCCACGCGCGCACGGCGTCCGTGCGCTACCTGCTCTCGCACTGGGTCGACGACGGCGCGGACTGCGAGACCGTCGGCAACGCGGGCGGCTTCGGCCTCGAGCTCCGCGCGCTGAGCCGCGAGCTCGACGACCCGAGCTTCGCGTCGGCCGCCGACGCCATCTTCGACGAGATCGACACGGCCTGGTTCCAGGACGGCGCGAAGGACAGCGCGAGGCGACTGCCGCGGTACCCCGCGTGCGACTCGCGCGCGCGGTCGGACCTCAAGGACGCGGCAACGCTCTTTGGGAGCCTGCTGGGCGAGCAGCTCATCGGCAGCACCCAC